AGTAGCTGGGACTACAGGCACGTGCCACCATGCCCAGCTAATTTTTTGTATTTTTAGTAGAGACGGGGTTTCACCATGTTGACCAGGATGGTCTTGATCTCTTGACTTCGTGATCCACCGGCCTCAGCCTCCCACAGTGCTGGGATTACATGCTTGAGCCACCGCGCCCAATTATTGATTTATTGCTTCTCAACTTGAAATTCAACTTTCTGTCTGCTCTGTGAAAATGGAGCATATTTTAACTATTTTTTCCTTTGCGAGCTGTCACCGAAGCTTTCTCAGAGGGTGCTGGAGAGATACTTCAAAAGGAAAAGGGGCTTCCTTCCTGATTCCTGTGCTCACTTGGCAGGCTCCTGCTGCCTGGCTTTTTCTAACATCAGACTCCTCCAGTACTCACAGCCTTTCCAGTGCCTGGTTTCTGCAGTGCATGGTGGCCGGTAGCACCCAGTGACCAGTAGCTTTCCCCTCCCTCCAGCTCTCTCTCAGGAGTTTTGTAGCAGAGTGCCTCTGGATCCCACAGCACTCACAGCTTCCCCAGTGCCCGGCTCCTGCAGTAGGCAGAGGCCAGCAGCACTCAGCAGTGAACAGTTTTCCCTAGCACCATGGCTAGCAGATTTCCAGAGAGTAGATTTCCACCAAGTTCCATCAGTGCAGCACCACAGTGAACTTCTCCACCATTCAGTAACTACAGCCATGCTTCCTCCAGCAAGCTCTGGATCTCAACCTCATTGGTGTTCTGTCTCAGGCTAGGGATGGCAACTGCGCCTTATATCTGTTATTCCTGTATTCTTTTTTTTTCCTTTTTTCTTTTTTTTGAGATGGAGTCTCTCTTGGTTGCCCAGGCTGGAGTGCAGTGCTGTGACCTCAGCTCACGGCAGCCTTCATCTCCCAGGTTCAAGTGATTCTTCTGCCTCAGCCTCCGGAATAGCTGGAACTATAGGCATGCATCACCATGCCCAGCCAATGTTGTTTATTTTTTCTAGAGATGGGGTTTCACCCTGTTGCCCGGACTGGTTTCAAACTCCTGAGCTCAAAAAATCTGCCCGCCTCAGCCTCTCAAAGTGCTGGGATTAGAGGTGTGAGCCATCATGCCTAGCCTGGGGGTTAATTCTTACATTAAACTTTCTCTCTTCAAATTATTGTGTCGTTCTGTCTCCTAACTGGACAGAAAATTGTTGCCAGGAATGGTCCCAGGAAATACACCTGGAGAGACTGGACTTTGGGATTGGTTTGTTCATGCCCTGGATTTCAGCATTGCGCTGAACTCTTTGCCAGTAAGAAATAGATGCTGATAATCCCTAGCATGTAGAGGCATCACAATTAGTTAACCTAGGCTGGATTGTGATGAAGTGTCAACTGAAGTACATGCCTTGGGAGCCCGAATGGCTGCTGCACTTGACCATCATGACAGTAATTGTGACTATAAGGACTGTGTTGTGGGATGGATTGTTCTGAATGCATCTGAGCACTTACAAGACAGAATAACAAGCTGGGGTTCGTTGACTTCTCAGCTCAAGTCATAGTGTGAGAACCAGAGAACTTTCACGATGACTAAAAGGGGCACTTATGGGCTGAGTGCTGAAAATCAAACACAACATTTAATTGTGCAGTGCAAGCTGAACTCACAGTCCTGACAAGTCTCTTATGTGAAAGTTAGATTAAGAATGGGATCCTGAAACTTGCATTTGGAGGGGCATCTGTTTGGTCTCAGATGAAAATGAACTACCAAGTCACTCTGAGCCTCCTGTACTAATGGAAATAGCTTGTCCTTCAATGTTTCAGTGTCTGAGACTAGCCTTTCTCTCCTTGAAAACACTGAGATAAACTAACCTGGGGAGGATGCCTTGAAAGGGAATGCACATTCTCCCCTCTCCCTACCACAATCACCCCCTATTGCCACGACAAGACCCCATCTCTACAAAAAATGTTGAAAATTAGCTGGGTGTGGTGGCACATGCCTGTGGTCCCAGCTACTCAGGAGGCTGAGGTGGGAGGGTCACTTGAGCCCAGGAAGTTGAGGCTGCAGTGAGCTGTGATCATGCCACTGCACTCTAGCCTGGGCAACAGAGGGCGACTTTGTCCCCCCACCCTGCAAAAAGAAACTGGCATAACCCCCACATCAGCTTGCTGATCCATGGGGTAAGTGCCATTACAGTTAGAATGGCTAAGCCAATCCCAGCACTTTGGGAGGCCAAGGCGGGTGGATCATGAGGTCAAGAGATTGAGACCATCCTGGTCAACATGGTGAAACCCCATCTCTACAAAAAATTAGCCGGGCATGGTGGCGCGCACCTGTAGTCCCAGCTACTCAGGAGGCTGAGGCAGGAGAATTGCCTGAACCCAGGAGGCAGAGGTTGCAGTGAGCTGAGATCGCGCCATTGCACTCCAGCCTGGGTAACAAGAGCGAAACTCCGTCTCAAAAAAATAAAAATAAAAAAAAAAGAAGGGCTAAGCCAAAGCCCCTGGAACATTCACTCCTTTGAAAGTTAGTAAACCAGAAGCAATAATGCATAGCAAGGGGAATGCAGGGATTAATGGCACAAGAAAAGACTTGAAAGACGTAGGGGTGGTGATACCTATCACATCTCCATTTAACTCACTAGTTTGACCTGTGGAAAAGTTAGATGAATCTTGGAGAATGACTGCAGACTATCGTAAAGTTAATTAGATGGTGACGCCACTTGTAGCTCCTGTCCCAGAGATAGTATATTTACTGGAACATCTCAACACACCGCTGGCACTTGGTACGCAGGTACTGGCCTGACTGATGACCTTTTCTCCACACCAGTTTTCAAGGACTACCAGAAACCATTTGCTTTTACCTGGCAAGAACAAGAACTTAACTTTATGGTGTTGCCTGAGGGCTCTGACATTTCTCCTGCTCTCTGCCATTGTTGGGAAACACTGCAAAGGAGAAAGGACTTACAGAGTGCCTACATAAATTGGTTATGAGTAGCATATAAACAAGGAACAACAAACTGCGGAAGGCCACAGGAGGCCTCTGAGGAGGAAGGCCTCTCCATGCCTCATGTTCCAGTGCAGGTGACCTCGGCTGTGTTACCATAAACATTGTGCTCAAGGACGTAAAACCCCTTCGTAGCACCATGACGTAGCCAGACTTGTAGGCTCCTTGTAAGGCCCTAGTTCTATGAGCTGTACATAGATAATAAGCTAAAGATAACCACATGTTCTTGTTTTGTGAAACTCCCAAACTGTTATCAGTCCTAAGAATGACACGCCAGTTCCGTTTCACTGATTCACTCCACCATCACCCTCTCCCCACCATTACTCCACCCCTACCCTATAGATCAAAGTGATGGTAATCAATAAATAGTGTGGATATCAGAGCTCGGGGCCTTCAATGTCACCTCCAGAGTGATGAAGTGATGGTTCCCTGTTCCCACTTTCTCTCTTAATCTGTCTTTCTCTCATTCCTTTGTCGCCACCGAACTCAGGGTATCCACGGGTGATATGGGGCTCATGGATTCCCTACATGCCATGATATAGTCGGCAGAGATATTGCCCATGTTGATACTCAATGAAAACATCACACTGGGCTACTACACTGATGACATGCAGATTGGATCTGGTGAGCAGAAAGGAGTGAATATTTTAGATATCTTATTAAGAATGAAAGGGGACTGGGCGTGGTGGCTTATTTCTGTAATCCCAGCACTTTGGGAGGTCAAGGCAGGCGGATCACTCAAGGTCAGGAATTTGAGACCAGCCCGGCCAATATTGTGAAACCCAGTCTCTGCTAAAAATACAAAGATTAGCAAGGCGTGGTGGCACGTGCTTATAATCCCAGCTACTGGGGAGGCTGAGGCAGGAGAATTGCTTGAACCCAGGAGGCAGAGGTTGCAGTGAGCCAAGATCATGCCACTGCACTCCAGCCTGGGGGACAGAGAGACTCTGTCTCTCAAAAATAAAATTAAAAAAAGCCCGGGCACAGTGGCTTATGCCTGTAATCCCAGCACTTTGGGGGGCCGAGGCAGGCAGATCACAAGGTCAGGAGTTCAAGACCAGACTGGCCAACATGACTGATGGTGAAACCCTGTCTCTACTAAAAAATACAAAAATTAGCTGGGCATGGTAGCTTGCGCCTGTAATCCCAGCTACTTGGGAGGCTGAGGTAGGAGAATTGCTTGACCCTGGACCTGGGAGGCAGAGGTTGCAGTGAGCAGGGATCGTGCCACTGCACTCCAGCCTGGGCTACAGAGCGAGACTCCATCTCTAAATAAATAAATGAATAAATAAACAAAAAGGCTGGGCGTAGTGGCTCACGCCTATAATCCCAGCACTTGGGGAGGCCCAGGCGGGCAAATCACTTGAGGTCAGGCTTTTGATATCAGCCTGGCCAATACAGCAAAACCCCATCTGTACTAAAAATACAAAAATTAGCCAGGTGTGGTGGCACATGACTGTAATCCCAGCTACTGGGGAAGCTGAGACAGGAGAATCGCTTGAACCCAGGAGGTGGAGGTTGCAGTGAGCCAAGTTTGCACCATTGCACTCCAGCCTGGGCGAAGAAGCGAGACTCCATTTCAAAAAAAAGAAAGAAAGAAAGAAGGAGAGGGCTGGGCATAGTGGCTTATACCTGTAATTTCAGTACTTTGGGAGGTTGAGGTGGGAGGATTGCTTGAGTTCAGGGGTTCGAGACCAGTCTGGGCAACATAGTGAAACCTCTATAAAAAACAAAAACAAAAAAATTAGCCAGGCATAGTGCAAATGCCTATAGCCCCAGCTACTCAGGAGGCTGAGGTAGGAAGATCGCTTGATCCTGGGAGGTGGAGGCTGCAGTAAGCTGTGATTGTACCGCTGGATGCCATCCTGTGCAACAGAGCAAGACTTTATCTCAAGTATATATATATATATGTAAATTGGTGGACTTTGAGTGGAACAGATTGCCCTCCACAATTGGGTGAGCCGTGTCTAATCAGTTGAAGGCCATAATAGAACAAAGACTGACCTATACCAAGCCAGAAGGAATTCTGCCAGCAGAAGTCTTTTAAACTTCAACTGCATCACCAGCTTTTCCCTCAGACTACAGGCTGCCAGCCTACCCTGCAGATTTTGGACTTGAAAAAATGTCAGGCTCTGTTATCACATGAGCCAATTCTTTAAAATAAATCCCTCTCTAAATGTATACACATTTTATTGGTTATGCTTCTCTGAAGAACCCTACCTAATACGGTTGGTTATAAGCCTCACAAAAATTCAGGGGCCTGTCACCTCAATTAAGTTTCTAGGAGTTAAGTAGTCTGGAGCATGTCAAAAGATTCCTTCCAAAGTGAAAGACAAGTTGCTATACCTCACACCTCCTACCACAAACAAAATGGTACAACTCTTGGTAGGCCTTTGTATTTTGGAGGCAACTTTTTTTTGAGACAGGGTCTCACTCTGTCACACAGGCTGGAATGCAGTGGCACAATCACGGCACACTGCAAACTCTGTCACCCACGCTCAAGCAATCCTCCCGCCTCACCCTCCCAAGTAGCTGGAACTACAGGTACCCGCCACCACGCCTGGCTAATTTTTTTATTTTTTGTAGAGATGGGTTTTTGCCATGTTTCCCAGGCTGGTCTCGAACTGCTGGGTTCAAGAGATCCGCCGACCTCAGCTTCCCAAAGTGCTGTAATGGCAGGCATGAGCTACCGCACTCGACCTTGGAGGCAACATTTGAGTGTGCTACTTTTTTTTTTGTTTTTGAGACAAAGTCTCGCTCTGTCGCCCAGGCTGGAGTGCAGTGGTGCGATCTCGGCTCACTGCAACCACCACCTCCTGGGTTCAAGCGATTCTCCTGCCTCAGCCTCCCCAGTAGCTGGGATTACAGGTGTGCGCCACCATGCTCGGCTAATTTTTTTGTATTTTTAGTAGAGACGGGTTTTCACCACATTGGCCAGGCTGGTCTCGAACTCCTGACCTCAAGTGATCCATCCACCTCAGCTTCCCAAAGTGCTAGGATTAAAGGTTTGAGCCACTACACCCAGCCTGAGTGTGCTACTTCGAACCCGTTGATAGAGTCACCCAAGGTCTCCAGTTTTGAATAGAATCAGCCAAGAGAAAGTTCTGCAATTCAGATTGAAATACAAGAGAAAGCTCTGCAATTCAGGTTCATCCCACTTGAACCAGCAGATCCAATGATACTGGAAGTGTCTGTGACAAATGAGAGTATTGTATGGAGTTTCTAGCAAGCATCAATGAGAGAATTACAGGGTAAGCCTCTAGGACTTTAGAGCAAGTGTGTGCTCTCTTTTGCAGAAAACTATTCTCCTTTCAAGAAACAGCTCTGGCTTACTGCTGGTTCTAGGCAGAGATTGAAACACCTAACCATGAGATATTAGGTGACCATATAGCCTGAGACTCTCATCAGGAACTGGTGTCTTCTTTGACCCACATAGCCATAAGCTTAGGCATGCATAGTAGCAATCTATTATTAGATGAAAATGGTACATAAAAGACCAAGTTAAGCAGGTCTAGAAGGTACAAATAAGTCGCATGAGCAGGTAGTTCAGACCGTTGACACCAACTCCTGTTGCTTTGCCTCCTCTCCTTCAATCCGTGCCTACGATATCACAGAATGTTCCTATGACCAATTGACTGAGGAAGGAAAACTGAAGCCTGTCTCACATATGGGTCTGCATGTGATACTGGTACCATCCAAAGTAGACAGCTGCAGCACTGCAGCTGTACTCAGGGGTGACTGAATGACAATGGCGAAGGAAGATCCTCTCCGGTGGGCGGGACACCGAACAGTATGTTTAGTTGTCCACTGTGTGTAGAGTAAGAGATGGTCAGAAGTATAGATCTACACTGCCATGTGGTTAAGTACTTGAACAAGAGTGACAGATTGGCGACAAGGAAGTCTGGGGAAGAGAAATATAACCGGCCTTCTCTGGATGGGGACAGATTGTGAAGATATTTGAGTCCCAGCTGAACTTTGAGTGAAACAGATTGCCTTCCATAATTTGCATGAGCCACATCCAATCAGTTGAAGGCCATAATAGAACAAAGATTGACCTCCACCAAGCAAGAAGGAAATAAGATAAGGCATGTATGCCACCAAAACGCATATATTGCATAGGAGACTCTTATGCATCCAGAGGACAAAATGATGTGGTCTGTTGATACACACCAGCCACCCCAGGATTTGCTCAATAGGCCCATAAAAAAATAGGCCATGGTAGCAGAAAGGAGACTCTGCCTGGGCTCAACAACATGGACCTCCCGTTACCAAGGGTGGCATGGTTGCTGAGTGCCTAATCTGCCAACAGGAGCGACCAAAATTGAGTTCCTGATACAGCACTATTCCCTGTGGGGGCCAGCCAACCACCTGGTGACAGGTTGATGACACTGGACATCTTCCATCATGAAGGGGAACAGAGATTCAGTCTCACAGAAACAGACGTATTTTCTGGATATAGTTTTCCCTACCCTGCCCATAATCCTTGTGCCAGCACTACCATCTGTAGACTGCTGCACAGCTTTGCTTCTGGTCCACAGCCTTATTTCACAGCAAAGCAAGTGCAGCAATGGGCTCATGCCTACAGAATTAACTGGTCTTACCACATACCACATCATACTAAAGCAGCTGGCCTAATCGAAGGGTGAAATGGCTTACTGAAACTTGGTTTTGATGCCAGTTGGGAAACAACATCTTGAAATGATGGGATAGTATTTTTTGGAATGCAATATATACTTTGAGCTAGAGACTATTATACAGTGCTATCTCTCCCATAGCCAGAATAAATGGGCCCTGAAACCAAGGGGTAGAAGTAGGAGCGGCTCCTCTCATTATTACAACTAATAACCTACTCACAGAATTTTTGCTTACTGTCTCAACAATTATGAGCTTTGCTAGTTTGGATATCTCAGTCCTTAAAGGGAGAATGTTTCTAACCAGGGGACACAACAATAATTTCAGTGAATTGGAACGTGAAACATTTGGGAGACTTTGGGCTCCTTATGCCAATGAAACCACAAGCCAAAAAAGCGAGTGGGGTCAGACTTAATTTACTGGCTTCAGTGATTGATCCTAATTACCAAGTGGAAGTGGAGCCGTTGCTACACAATGGAGGCAAAGAGGACCATGTTTGCGATGCAGGCAATTATCTGGAGTGGCTCTTAGTACTTTCATGCCCAATAGTAAATTTTTTTTTTTTTTTGAGACAGAGTCTTACTCTGTCACCCAGGCTGGAGTACAGTGGTGCGATCTGGGCTCACTGCAACCTCCGTCTCCCAGGTTCAAGCGATTATCCTGCCTCAGGCTCCTGAGTAGCTGGGACTACAGGCGCAAGCCACCATGCCTGGCTAATTTTTGTATTTTTAGTAGAGATAGGGTTTTGCCATGTTGGTCTTAAACTCCTGACCTTAGGTGATCTACCTGCCTTGGCCTCCCAAAGTGCTGGGATTACAGGCGTGAGCCACCGTGCCCAGCCAACATAGTAAAGATTAATGGTTAAACGCCATTAAAAGGTTAAACTCCAGTAACTCAAAACAAGCAGGATGATCAAGGACTCAGACCCTTCCAGAATGAAAGTTTGGGTGACTCCTTTAGGTAGAAAAGAGCATCTGAGGTTCTGAATGAAGGCAGGGGAAATACGGAATGGATAATAACAGAAGAAGGAAGCCATAGATGTCAATTACAGCCTTGAGATCAATTACAGAAATGAGTACTATATTACCTTTCCTCATTTGTTTTTTGCTTGTTATATGTATGTGTTTATTTGCATAATCTAGCCATTTTCTTTTTCTCTCTTTCCCATTTTTATTTTATATACAAGAAATTGGAAGTTAATTTTATGGTTTACGCTTTAGGTACTAGGATATCAGTGGAACCATGGCTAAATTTGAGGAGTCATTAATACAGACCGTGAGGGATATAATAACTCCTACAACTATGTGTCCTCTCATTTGGGGGAAAGGGTAACAACTTCCTCTCTTGTAAGGATAGCTATATCTTGATAGGTAGGAGTAAAGTTGTTTGTTTTCTTCTCTTTTTTTTGAGACAGAGTCTTGGTCTGTCACCCAGGCTGGAGTGCAGTAGTGTGATCAGAGCTCACTGTAACCTCAAGCTCCTGGCCTAAAATGATAC